CTATCCCCAGGAGAAGTCTGTAGGCAGGGGTGGTGGGACAAGATTATTAGAGATTACTAGGGAGATTACTGAGTTTTACACACAACAAACAACCATGTCTAGGAGAAGTCTGTAGGCAGTGGTGGGACAAGATTACTAGGGAGATTACTAGATAGATTACTGGGTTTCATACACACAAAGAACTACAAGGAACCACTGTCCCCAGGAGAAGTCTGTAGCCAGGGGTGGTGGGACAAGATTACTAGAGATTACTAGGGAGATTACCGGGTTTCACACACACACACGTACAAGGAACCACCATGCCCAGAGAAGTCTGTAGCAACTGGTGGTGGGACCAGGATAGAGATTACTAGATAGATTACTGAGTTTTACACACACACAACGAACAACCGTGCCTAGGAGAAGTCTGTAGCCAGGTGTGGTAGGACCAGATTACTAGATAGATTACAGTGTTTTTGTCAATGGCTGTATTGCTATGGCTACTAGATTCCCCATGTAAGCTATCACGAAAATATCACACACATACAATTTCCTGGCACCACACTATATCTTAACAATGTACATAATTGAAGAAGTGCACATACATGTACACACTAGTGAGATTTCATAATTTACTAGAGATTACAAACTTCATTCACGAGTTTACTGCAGATTACAAGCTCACACACAGTTACTTGCAACTCAGAAACTACAAAGCTCATACAAAGAATTAACTACAAAGCTCATTCTACAAAGCAAGTTTACAAATAATTTACTGCAGATTACAGAGCACACACTCACTCTGTGACGGCAGTCTTGACCAGCTGCTCGATGAGGTCAAATATCTCCCTGGTGTTGGAGAACATGGAGAAATGGAGCTCCTTCCTCTTCCCCGAGGGATCGGCCGCGACCCCTGACCCCACGGCCTCGCGAGGGTCGACGTGGACCACTATCTCCTCCGTGATACGGGCACTCTGGAGCTCCAGTTTCTGGTGGAAGATCAGTATTATATAGCCTTCCCAGATGTGATGTTGTTTAACTGATCTATTTTGTACTTACGGCAATGCCTATTTTCAGACTAGACAAGTACTATTTATACTGTCAGCTTCTTGGTTGCACAGCACACTTATGTATATACATAGGAGGCAAGCATGAAGGACAGTTAGAAAAAGCGTTAATACAGGCTTAATTTTGGTGTACAACATTCTATATACCAGGTAAATCTTGTATATATACACTGTTGATATAAATAGGGAATGTGTCAGTATATTATAAGGGCTAAATTAACAGTACCCAGTGCAAGAATGTAATGGCATTTTCTACTATAGTTGCCACAGTCCCTTTAAAAGAAGGACAGCTTACAGCTACTACATGACATACGTGTTTCATCCAACTCACTCTGACAGTGTTCCAGCGAACTACGAGGAGAGTCTCAGAGCCCAGGAGAAAGGAGTAGAAACAGAGGTGATTGACACTCAGGTACATCCAGCCCTGCCTTGGGAGAGAGCCTTTCCAGTAGCCACACGAGTAGTCTGGAGGGAGAGGGGGAAGAGGAGGAGGAGGAGGAGGAGGGGGAAGGAGGAGGAGGAGGGGGGAGAGGAAGAGGGGGAGGAGGAATAGGATGAGTGAGGCAGAAGACTATGTATATACCAGTTTCGCATGAATCTGTGACTTTCGTTTTGGGACACAAACACATGACAAGTGTAACAAAAGAAAGGGTTGAAACTAACATATAAGCTGGTGTGAATAGGGTCAGTGAGGAGAGACATATTATAGTATATACACAGAGAAGGAATGTAGGGATGTGGAATGGCCCCAAATAACTCCTCACAATTGACAAGTTTCTCATCAGGAGGCATGTTGAACTGCTTCAGAAATCTCTTCTCCACCTCCTTGAACTTCAGCTGCTCCATGTCCTCTGGTATCCCCCCCACCTATTGATGTAGTACATACATACTGTAGGTCTGTACACCTGTACTGGTACATTGTAACTCTCCCATTCCCCCTCCCCCTCTCTCTTCACCCCCCTCTCCCTCACTCACTCACCTCTCTAGCAAAAAGTGGCCAGACTGTGTATCTTGGCCTGTGCAAACTCCATTGCTTGCTCTGCCTCTTCAAATGAACCTGACAAATTAACGTGTTCAGTCATTCTAAGTATTCAGAGTTTGTTTAGTTACACACATATACATACAGTATGAGTCAAAAAAACATCAACACCTCTACCCACATAACTACCCTACTCTACTCTTCCCCTGTCTGCTTACAGCTACCTTGCCCTACCTATATAGCCCTACCTTTCTCTACCCTCTCCCACCCTACTTCTACTCTACCTTACCCTTTCTCTAAGCTACTCTACCAAAAACAGTTGATGTTTTTTTTACTTATACTGTAGAAGACCGTTGTTGTCAATGAAAGGGCACTTACTGGGTAACTTCCAAGAAATCCTTCGCAGATGGCCTTTCCCTAGATACAAATGTTCTGACGAAATTCGCACCCCCATGCTACAGGGCCGTCTGCTTTCAGCCGATTTGATTGGCTTACAACAGTAAAGCTAATTGGCACAACCAAGAAATGGCCTAATTGCCACCAGACCCTTTTTCTCTTTTGAGGCAGGGTCTGAGCACACCTCCAGACCCCACCCCTCACCACACCCACCAACCAAGGGCCTATGGATCACACCCTGTCCCGCCTATCAACCAAGGGTCTCCAGGCCACACCCCCTGCCCCGCCCACCCACCGAGAGTCTCTAGAAGGTTCTCCTGTAGCCAGAGCCAGTCACTGGTGATCTCCTGGTGATTGCCCGCCACTGATACCACGTAGCTAAAGTCAGACACTGGGGTCTGGAGTAGGATCCTGTAGGACGGAGGCTTTGCATCTCTCATGTGGTCCAGAGTACCTGGGAGAGGGAGGGGAGGGGGAGATTTTTTTTTAAAAAGTGGTGAGGGACACACGGTGGAACCTCCGAACAAGTGACACTATGGGGCCAACAATTTTGTCCCCTTTTAGAGAGTTCGTCCCTATCTCGGAGGTCAAATAGTATTAGCATGGGGTTGAAACAAGTGTCCTTTATAAAGAGGTCGTCCCTATCTCAGAGGGTCCCTTATCGGAGGTTCCACTGTATTTTGAGAGAGGTGGGGCGTTGAAGTGTAAGAGAGAAGATACCGCAGAGAAAAGAAGGATTTTGAGTTAGAAAAATGCGAGGAGAGGTAAGGATTATACAAAAAGGAGAGGAAGGGGAGAGGGGAGAAGGAAGTTTTCCTAGTAAAACAGGTGAGAGTTTTGATCAAAGTTGAAGGAGGCAAAGAAGGGAGATACAAGGAGGCAGAAATTGTGTTGGAACGAAGGTTTTAGTACGGGAGAAGAATTACGTATGTATAAAGGAGGGTTTTTTGGTAGTAGGAAGAAGAGAGGTGAGTGGGAAGAGGGAAGGAAATATGTGTGGAAGAGAAAGAGAGAGGGAATACGAGAGAGAATGGTGTTTGAGTATAAAGAGAAGGAAGAGAGGTGAGTGGGAAGAGGGGAGAGGGCCTCACTAATGAAGAGTCCGGTGATCCCTCCTTTGTGCTCCCCATGTCCCCTCCTCTTCTGGAGACAGAAGAACGTGTTGCTCACCTCCGTCGTCCTGGATACACAACAATGGCCCTAACAACTGCCACCTGGTACTAAAGACACCTTGCGGACATAAAAAAGTGTCCTTTTCAGAGGAATTCCTTGTTTGGAAGTAACAATACACTAATGTTTTAATTAGTATGGGGCAAAACCAATTGTCCTCTACCGAGAGGTATTCTTTATTAAGAGGGTCCCTTTTCAGTGATTCCACTGTACTGTAACGATATGTTTGTAAAGAGATGACGTACAGGTAGTTTTTCGTGCTGAGAATGCAGTTTAATTCAGTACTCCCTCACTTGACATACGTATGCTATTGTGTTTGGCTTTGTTGTGCGATAGTAGGTAAAACTCCCATAGTAATGTATGGATATAGCGGACACCCACACCCACACACACACACCATAGAGAGAGAGAGGGGGGGGGGGAGGGAGGGAGGGAGGGAGGGGGGAGAGATACACACAGTCACAAGAATCTCAGACTTTGACAAACAGACTTGATGTTTGTGCCACACTGGGACTCTGTGTACAATTCACTATCCACACACCACACTCGGCGACAGATCACTTGACATGTTTGTTATGCGTGACTGTTTGTCAATCCACATTCGTCCAATACCTGCCTACATACATACATAGGTCTCAGTCCCATACTCGGGTTCCCATTCCCATATCCGTATACACTGTGAGCCTCTGAATAAGGGACACCTTGGCAACATTAAAACTGTCCTGTATTCAGAGGCATCCTTTATTCGGAGGTAGTTGTATAATACACCAATGTATTAGTGAGGGGCAGAACCAAGTGTGTCCCTTGTAGAGAGGTGTCCTTTATTCCAAGGGTCCTTTTTCTGAGGTTTCACTATACTTACAGTTACTTGTGTGCATAAACATGGAGCAAGTGTCAGTAGATACATTAGGTAGGATCTCAATTTCGTCACAAGGCAACACCGACAACGTAACTACACCAAGTACAATAGTTGCCCTGGGTGGGTCAAACCAACAACACTGCTGTCTAGGTAGAGCCCTCTACCCACCGAGCTACTGTACCAGGGCAACTCAGCAGGTAGGGCTCTCATGATCTATAAACAGACAAAGGCAAAAATTCTATCTATGGTGGCACATACCAATCACTAAGTACTACAATAGGACTTTGTTCTACTATACATACGTAACTCAGAGGCTGTGCTGTGGATGTGTGTGCACACTCGGTAGCCCTACATAGCCAGTACGTGTAACTCCCTTCCCTCTCTGTACAATACACACAACATGCCAGTATGTAGGGCATTATGGACTCTCTGGACATTGAAGGGATGTACAGACTGTAAGTAGTACAGTGAAACACCTCTGAAACCTCGCACACCCCTGAAATGAGGATACCTCGATACCTTACCCTCCTATAGAAACTACTATTGCATGTAATAAGGGCATCTCGATGATATGGACACTTTTTTCTGTCATAATGTTGGTGTCAGGATCAGAGAGGTTCCACCAACATGTATGTGTCTACAAATGAGTGTAGAGACAATTGCCCTGCCCCTGGTTGTGTCTATAGTGAATGGAGGTTTAGCATTAGTAGTCAGTCTCCAACACTCTCTCACTTCCCTTGTTATTCCACTCTCCCCATCCCTCTTCTTTCTAATGTTCCTACCCCCTCTTCAGCCTCCATTTCATCCTTCTCTCACTCTCTGATTCTATATATATCTCTCCCTCTCCCTCTCCCTTCCTCCCTCCCTCTACTCACCAGAGGATGGTGTTGTTGATCATAATCTCCTGAGGTTTGACCCACATCTTTACTCTCGTCACCGGCTTCTTACATACAAATCCTGAGAAAAGAGAAGAGAGATGTAAGAAAACTGAGGTGGAGTAGAAGGAGTGATGAAGGGAGGTGGGAGGAAAGGGGGTTGATGGGGGAGGGGTAACAAAGGGATTTCAGCCTATACGTATACTTTCAATGACAGAGGAGGTTGTCAAAGTTTCTGTCACACTTGTACTAGAACACTGTTCATCAACTAGAGCCTTTCATTGGCACATGTTCACGACACACAGCAGCTACCACTCGCTACTTTGAGCAAACTATAATCAGTACCTAACAGCTGGAAAACATGCTGGGATAGCACATTAGCTAATAGGGTTGGATGGAAGAGACACAGCTAAGTAACAGAGCACAGCACACACATGCGTTGTCGACGACGGGAATCGTAATCTCATATGTACGTAGCTAGCAATAAAAATACCTGGGTGCAACTATATAGCACCCACAAAAGCAGCTATAGTCTAGATTTTACAAAAAGGAAGTTATGGACGTCACGAACGAAGAGGAATCATTAAAAAAACACGATATTAGCTAACCTGAATACCCCTCTTCGATCCAGCGTAGCCTACCTCTCTCTCTTCCTTTCAATCCTCCCCTGGCTCCCTCTTTTTAGAGCGGTGACTATAACAAAAGTTGCTGACTTCGCAAGCAGCAGGCTAGCCACACCCTCACTTGACTCTTGCGCGTGCGTATAAAAGCATCACGCATGCGCACAATTATCCCAGCGTCCTTTGCCTTTTTTACGGGTGTGTATAGTACAGTATGGCACAAGTAAGGTGGATCTTAGAAGATAAGCGCCCATAATAAGAAGATAAGCGGTCATAATGGCCTAGTCCGTGTAACAGTAGTAGCACTGGTAGCTAGGTAGCTGGAGTAACAAACAGTAGCAGTAGTAGCGCTGGTAGCAAGGTAGCAAGGTAGCTGGGGTAGCACTAGTAGCACTGGTAGCTGAGGGAGCACTAGTACCACTGGTAGCAGAGGGAGCACTGGTAGCTGAGGGAGCACTGTGGTAACACTGGTAGCTGAGGGAGCACTGGTACCAGAGGGAGCACTGGTAGCAGAGGGAGCACTGGTAACACTGGTAGCAGAGGGAGCACTAGTAGCAGAGGTAGCTGAGAGAGCACTAGTAGCAGATGGAGCACTGGTACCTGAGGGAGCACTAGTAGCTGAGGGAGCACTAGTAGCAAAGGTAGCTGGGGTAGTATGGCAGCTAGGTAGCTGAGGTAACAACAGTAGCTGGGGTAGCAGAGGGAGCACTAGTAGCACTGGTAGCTGAGGGAGCACTAGTAGCACTGGTGTATAGCTGAGGAGCACTAGTAGGACTGGTAGCTGAGGGAGCACTAGTAGCACTGGTATATAGCTGAGGAGCACTAGTAGGACTGGTAGCTGAGGGAGCGCTAGTAGCACTGGTATATAGCTGAGGAGCACTAGTAGGACTGGTAGCTGAGGGAGCACTAGTAGCACTGGTATATAGCTGAGGAGCACTAGTAGGACTGGTAGCTGAGGAGCACTAGTAGCACTGGTATATAGCTGAGGAGCACTAGTAGGACTGGTAGCTGAGGGAGCACTAGTAGCAGAGGTAGCTGAGGAGCACTAGTAGCACTGGTATATAGCTGAGGAGCATTAGTAGGACTGGTAGCTGAGGGAGCACTAGTAGCAGAGGTAGCTGAGGTAACAACAGTAGCAGTGGTAACAATAGTAGCTGGGGTAGCGATAGTAGCAGTCTTGTCTTTTGCATCTAAGCAAGTTACTCCAATGTTGTATCATTCAAAGTTTTGATAGTAATGCACATTACAATTAATAATGACAATGAAATAGAAGTCAGAAAAAGCATTTAACTGAACTATTATGATATTCACTAATGAACATCAACAAATATGAGGTTCAACACACTAATAGAATGAACACCTACAACAACTTATTGAGACACACAACTGATCATCATGGCAAAAGGTTACAGCAATTATATATGACGCCTACAAGGTATTGCACCCTAACCTAAAACTTCGGTATAGTGCTCCTTCTGCTACTGAGAGCTCCATCAGCTACCTCTGCTACCAGTGCTTCCTCTGTTACTAGAGCTACCTATGCTACTCGTGCTCCCTATGCTACCAGTGCTCCCTCTGCTACTAGTGCTCCCTCAGCTACCTCTGCTACCAGTGCTCCCTCAGCTTCCAGTGTTACCAGTGCTCCCTACCAGTGCTCCCTCAGCTACCAGTGTTACCAGTGCTCCCTCTGCTACTATAGTGTTACCAGTGCTCCCTCAGCTACCAGTGTTACCAGTGCTCCCTCTGCTACTAGTGTTACCAGTGCTCCCTCAGCTACCAGTGCTCCCTCTGCTACTAGTGTTACCAGTGCTCCCTCTGCTACCAGTGCTCCGGCTCAGCTACCAGTGTTACCAGTGCTCCCTCTGCTACCAGTGCTCCCTCTGCTACTAGTGCTCCCCAGCTACTTGTCTTGCTACAGCGCTTACTAACTGTCCTGTTTGTTACTCCAGCTACCTAGCTACCAGTGCTACTACTGTTACACGGACTAGGCCATTATGACCGCTTATCTTTCTTATTATGGCCGCTTATCTTCTAAGATCCGCCTTACTTGTGCCATACATTGTACTATACACCCGTAAAAAAGGCAAGGGACGCTGGGATAATTGTGCGCATTGTTTGCATGCTTTTATACCGCCACGCGCAAGAGGTCAAGTGAGGGTGTGGCTAGGCCTGCTGACTGGTGCGAAGTCAGCAACTTTTGTTATAGTCACGCTCTAAAAAGAGGGAAGCCAGGGGAGGATTGAAAGGGAAGAGAGAGAGGTAGCTTACGCTGGAATCGAAGAGGGTATTCAGGTGAGTAATATCGTGTTTTTTTTAATGATTTCCTCTTCGTTCGTGACGTCCATAAACTTCTATCCCAGATGTTTCCAGCTGTTAGGTACTGATTATAGTTTGCTCAAGTAGCAAGTGGTAGCTGCTGTGTGTCGTGAACATGTGCCAATGAAAGGCTCTAGTTGATGAACAGTGTCTAGTACAAGTGTGACAGAAACTTTGACAGCCTCCTCTGTCATTGAAAGTATACGTATAGGCTGAAATCCCTTTGTTACCCCTCCCCATCAACCCCCTTTCCTCCCACCTCCCTTCATCACTCCTTCTACTCCACCTCAGTTTTCTTACATCTTCTTCTCTCTTTCTCAGGATTTGTATGTAAGAAGCGGTGACGAGAGTAAAGATGTGGGTCCAAACCTCAGGAGATTAATGATCAACAACACCATCCTCTGGTGAGTAGAGGGAGGAGGAAGGGAGAGGAGAGGAGAGATATATATAGAATCAGAGAGTGAGGAGGAGAGGGATGAAATGGAGGCGGAGAGGGGGTAGGAACATTAGAAAGAAGAGGGATGGGGGAGAGTGGAATAACAAGGGAAGTGAGAAGTGTTGGAGACCGACTTACTAATGCTAACCTCCATTCACTATAGACACAACCAGGGGCAGGCAAATTGTCTCTCCACACTCATTTGGATTTTAGACACATACAATTGTCCATGGTGGATACCTCTCTGATCGCTTTTGGACACCAACATTATGACAGAAAAAAGTGTCCATAATCATCGAGATGGCCTTATTACATTGCAATAGTAGGTTTCTATTAGGAGGGCGTAGAGTATCTGAGGGGTATGCCTCATTCAGGGGTGTGCGAGGTTTTCAGAGGTGTTCACTGTGCTACTACAGTCTGTACATCCCTTCAATGTCCAGGGAGTCATAATGCCTACATACTGGCATGTGTGTGTATTGTCAGAGAGGGAGGGAGTTGTTATGTACTGCTATGTAGGTGTACCGAGTGTGCACACACAGTCCACAGCCAGCCTTGAGTTACGTTTGTATAGTAGACAAAGTCGCTATTGTAGTACTTTGTGATTGGTATGGTGCCACCTAGATAGAATTTTTTGCTTGTGTTATGGATCATGAGAGCCCTGCCTGCTGAGTTGCCCTGGTGCAGTAGCTCGGTGGGTAGAGGGCTCTGCCTAGACAGCAGTGTCGTTGGTTTGACCCACCCAGGGCAACTATTGTACTTGGTGTAGTTACGTTGTCGGTGTTGCCTTGTGACGAAATTGAGATCCTACCTAATGTATCTACTGACACTTGCTCCATGTTTATGCACACAAGTAACTGTAAGTATAGTGAAACCTCAGAAAAAGGACCCTTGGAATAAAGGACACCTCTCTACAAGGGACACTTGGTTCTGCCCCGCACTAATACATTGGTGTATTATACAACTATCTCCGAATATAGGATGGCTCTGATTACAGGACAGTTTTAATGCTGCCAAGGTGTCCCTTATTCAGAGGTTTCACAGTGTATACGGATATGGGAATGGGAACCCGAGTATGGGACTGAGACCTATGTATGTATGTATGTATGTATTGGACGAATGTGGATTGACAAACAGTCACGCATAACAAACATGTCAAGTGATCTGTCGCCGAGTGTGGTGTGTGGATAGTGAATTGTACACAGAGTCCCAGTGTGGCACAAACATCAAGTCTGTTTGTCAAAGTCTGAGATTCTTGTGACTGTGTGTATCTCTCCCCCTCCCTCCCTCCCTCCCTCCCCCCCCCTCTCTCTCTCTATGGTGTGTGTGTGTGGGTGTGGGTGTCCGCTATATCCATACATTACTATGGGAGTTTTACCTACTATCGCACAACAAAGCCAAACACAATAGCATACGTATGTCAAGTGAGGGAGTACTGAATTAAACTGCATTCTCAGCACGAAAAACTACCTGTACGTCATCTCTTTACAAACATATCGTTACAGTACAGTGGAATCACTGAAAAGGGACCCTCTTAATAAAGAATACCTCTCGGTAGAGGACAATTGGTTTTGCCCCATACTAATTAAAACATTAGTGTATTGTTACTTCCAAACAAGGAATTCCTCTGAAAAGGACACTTTTTGATGTCCGCAAGGTGTCTTTAGTACCAGGTGGCAGTTGTTAGGGCCATTGTTGTGTATCCAGGACGACGGAGGTGAGCAACACGTTCTTCTGTCTCCAGAAGAGGAGGGGACATGGGGAGCACAAAGGAGGGATCACCGGACTCTTCATTAGTGAGGCCCTCTCCCCTCTTCCCACTCACCTCTCTTCCTTCTCTTTATACTCAAACACCATTCTCTCTCTTATTCCCTCTCTCTTTCTCTTCCACACATATTTCCTTCCCTCTTCCCACTCATCTCTCTTCTTCTTATTACCAAAAATCCTCTTTTATACATAATTCTTCTCCCGTACTAAAACCTTCGCTCCAACACAATTTCTGCCTCCTTGTATCTCCCTTCTTTGCCTCCTTCAACTTTGATCAAAACTCTCACCTGTTTTACTAGGAAAACTTCCTTCTCCCCTCTCCCCTTCCTCTCCTTTTTGTATAATCCTTACCTCTCCTCGCATTTTTCTAACTCAAAATCCTTCTTTTCTCTGCGGTATCTTCTCTCTTACACTTCAACGCCCCACCTCTCTCAAAATACAGTGGAACCTCCGATAAGGGACCCTCTGAGATAGGGACGACCTCTTTATAAAGGACACTTGTTTCAACCCCATGCTAATACTATTTGACCTCCGAGATAGGGACGAACTCTCTAAAAGGGGACAAAATTGTTGGCCCCATAGTGTCACTTGTTCGGAGGTTCCACCGTGTGTCCCTCACCACTTTTTAAAAAAAATCTCCCCCTCCCCTCCCTCTCCCAGGTACTCTGGACCACATGAGAGATGCAAAGCCTCCGTCCTACAGGATCCTACTCCAGACCCCAGTGTCTGACTTTAGCTACGTGGTATCAGTGGCGGGCAATCACCAGGAGATCACCAGTGACTGGCTCTGGCTACAGGAGAACCTTCTAGAGACTCTCGGTGGGTGGGCGGGGCAGGGGGTGTGGCCTGGAGACCCTTGGTTGATAGGCGGGACAGGGTGTGATCCATAGGCCCTTGGTTGGTGGGTGTGGTGAGGGGTGGGGTCTGGAGGTGTGCTCAGACCCTGCCTCAAAAGAGAAAAAGGGTCTGGTGGCAATTAGGCCATTTCTTGGTTGTGCCAATTAGCTTTACTGTTGTAAGCCAATCAAATCGGCTGAAAGCAGACGGCCCTGTAGCATGGGGGTGCGAATTTCGTCAGAACATTTGTATCTAGGGAAAGGCCATCTGCGAAGGATTTCTTGGAAGTTACCCAGTAAGTGCCCTTTCATTGACAACAACGGTCTTCTACAGTATAAGTAAAAAAAACATCAACTGTTTTTGGTAGAGTAGCTTAGAGAAAGGGTAAGGTAGAGTAGAAGTAGGGTGGGAGAGGGTAGAGAAAGGTAGGGCTATATAGGTAGGGCAAGGTAGCTGTAAGCAGACAGGGGAAGAGTAGAGTAGGGTAGTTATGTGGGTAGAGGTGTTGATGTTTTTTTGACTCATACTGTATGTATATGTGTGTAACTAAACAAACTCTGAATACTTAGAATGACTGAACACGTTAATTTGTCAGGTTCATTTGAAGAGGCAGAGCAAGCAATGGAGTTTGCACAGGCCAAGATACACAGTCTAGCCACTTTTGCTAGAGAGGTGAGTGAGTGAGGGAGAGGGGGGTGAAGAGAGAGGGGGAGGGGGAATGGGAGAGTTACAATGTACCAGTACAGGTGTACAGACCTACAGTATGTATGTACTACATCAATAGGTGGGGGGGATACCAGAGGACATGGAGCAGCTGAAGTTCAAGGAGGTGGAGAAGAGATTTCTGAAGCAGTTCAACATGCCTCCTGATGAGAAACTTGTCATTGTGAGGAGTATTTGGGCCATTCCACATCCCTACATCCTTCTCATGTGTATATATACTGATACATCATGTCTCTCTCCTCGTGACCCTATTCACACCAGCTTATATGTTAGTTTCAACCCTTTCTTTTTTGTTACACATTGTCATGTGTGTGTGCCAAAACGAAAGAGTCGCACAGATTCATTGCGAAACTGGTATACTACATAGTCCTGCTGCCTCACTCATCCTATTTCCTCCTCCATCCCTCTTCCTCTCTCTCCTGCCTCCTTCCCCTCCTCCTCCTCCTCCTCCTCTTCCCCTCTCTCCTCCAGACTACTCGTTGTGGCTACTGAAAGGCTCCTCGCCAAGGCAGGGCTGGATGTACGCTGAGTGTCAATCACCTCTGTTCTACTCCTTTCTCCTGGTGCTCTGAGACATCTCCTCTGTAGTTCGCTGACCACTGTCAGAGTGAGTTGATGAACAACGTATGTCCATAGTAGCAGCTGTTAGCTGTCCTTCTTTTAAAGGACTGTGGTGCGCATAACTATAGTAGAAAATCCATTTACAACTTCTTGCACTGGGTACTGTTAATTTAGCCCTTATAATATACTGAAAATTCCCTATATATCAAAGTGTATTTACAAGATTTACCTGTATACTATGTAATAGAATGTGTAACAAAACCAAAATAACCTGTATTAACGCTTTCTAAACTGTCCTCAATGCTTCCTCCTATGTATATACATAGTTGCTGTGCAACAAGATCTGACAGATAGCAATAGTAACTTGTCAATCTGAAAATAGGCATCTGCCTGTAAGTACAAAATAGATATAAACAAACATCACATTCTGGGAGTGCTAATAATACTGATCTCCAGCCAGAAAACTGGAAGCCTCCAGATGCCCGAATACGAGAGAAGTGGTCCACGTCGACCTCGCGAGCAGTGGGTCAGGGGTCGCGGCCGATCCCTCGGAAGAGGAAGGAGCTCCATTCTACCATGTTCTCCAACACCAGGGAATATTTGACCCTCAATCGATAAAATAACTCTTGAGCGCTAGCGGAAAATAACCCGACACTACAACTGCGCATGCGCAGTGCGCCGAGGGTTTGCAATTCAGCGCTTTGAATAATGTGCACATTAGAACAAACGAAAGAGCAAGAGTGGGAGAATGAAGAGTTGCTCACCAGCCAGCAGCAGTGTGGGGAACTCTACAGTCACGGTCCCTGCAGTTGTCACAGTGCCTCATAATGAAAGTCCTGACCGCTAGCTCCAGAGGACCTCCCTCCTCCTGGTACACTGCCACCTGGACACCATATATCAACAGCAGCTCTCTACACCTGAGGAAAATGTAGGAGTACACAAGATATTGTGGCCGAGGGTTAAAAGTATTTGCTTTGTAGAGCCTTTGTGTCCTCGCTTGTGCCCAAAGATTACCTAGTCGTCCAGTCTTGTGGCTAATGGATGCAGGGAACGCATTAGGTGGGGCATCGCTACACTTGTGCAAGTTTGATAGAGCCTCCGCAGAGTCTGTTTAGACCAAGTCACAACAATCCTGACTGGGTTCTGACATTGAGCCAATGACATCACAATCATTCTTCAGGACTGTTCTCATCATAACTGACTTTGGTCTGTTTTTCTTAGTATAATAATTATTATAGTTACTGTTAGAGGCGTTTTGTCAATGCTTCTCTGTTCACCCTAGTAATGGCAGGTAACCATTGTCTGCTCTCCCTGATGACTTCTGACTGCAGCTACATCGTTAAAACGACTTTTACTTGCTTCTGTCTCATGGTTTGGGCAGCCAAAACCATGGGCAATCGCCATTTGCAATGTATTAGCATACCCGCGGTGGTCTTCCAATAATATGGCGGGCGGATCATTTGGCCATGCCTAATGCAAAGGGTCTCTACCAGTCAGAGATCCATAATCCTCGTGTCCTGCATATACGACACTCATGAAATCTCTCTCCCTCGTCCTGGTCCACTGGAGAGATACTTACCACGGCACGAGTGCCTCCTCCTTCACCTCTGAACCCAAACACGCTCATGAACTCCGCCACCAGTCCACTGCTAGTGATCCCAGCCGCCGATGGCTTGGCCCTCACACAGTACACATCATACACAACTTCTAGATCTCTCTCCTGCCCTCCTTCCTCCCCTCCTCTTTCTCCTCCTCCACTCTTTACAGACACGAAGTAGAGTTTCCGTCGTAGCTCTGGTGAAAACACGTCGGTTGTGAGGACCTCGACTGCCTTGTCCAGTACAAAGTCGTGCAGATCCGATTCGTGAGCACGGCCGACTAGCTGACGTCGATACGGACCGAGGAGCGTACGGACACCACCGATCTCAAGGTGAACTCTGATGTTGACTATCATGGTCTGCTGGCATCAATGATCCGAATACAAAAACAACATTCACGTAGTGGAGTAACGACTCGATAGGATCGTTTTACTTCGTAGCTAGAGAGGCAAACGTTTTTGCTTATCAAAGCACATTCGTTCCTAGAGCACAGTACGCATGCGCATGTTGTATTCTCATACAGCTCTCGGTCACAAGTATCCTAATGTTGGGACGCTGATCTTTCAATGGAGTTCAGAGGAGCATGGGCTGAGCAAGGTGGTCATTGTCATACACACGTCTCATAAGCATTGCTGTACAACGCCATCCTGCACAGCTGAGCGTTTATGAAGGCTCACTCTATTCCACAGACAAGTGAGGTCAAAGGTAGATATATCGCTGACTGATGAGTTTAGAAAAAAAAACGTAAGCCGTTCAATGGTTGTGTTTACATTTTGAAAAGCCTGATAATTACAGTGGCTTTAGCTACAATGAACCTTTTTCCCGCTCAGGAGCTCAGCATTGTTGATGATCGTGTAGACTGATCTTTGTTGATCAACGTGCGCAGTGCCTGAGGATATGCGCATGCGCGCAATGTCCGCGTACGGAAGTGTGCAAAAAAGCCCCGGCCTGTTGGCACGACTAGTTTCCCGGTCTCTACCTCAGTCTCTACCGCTTCCAAATTAAGAAACTGTGATGGATCAATCATTGCAATACAAAGCTTTGCGAAAGGGTGCTACTATCCTGAAGGGCTGCGTAAGCCCAGACGATATCGTCACTCCGCTCTTCGACAAGGAACTCCTTACCCCTCAAGAGCGCTCCCGGGCTAACGCAGGTCATCTAACTCCGGATCAGAGAATGGAAGAAGTATACTTGGCCCTAGAGAGACGGGTGACAGTTAAGCCCGCGGTATTTCGCACGATAATCGACATACTAAAAAACGAGCCAGCATTAGCTCCGGTGGCAGAAAAACTAAAGAAACTCTGGATCGCAGAACACCCTACCTTTCCAAGACCGGTAAAGCAGCTATACTGTATATATAGCGCGGTTTGACGCCGAAGGGAGCGTGACACTGCACTGTGTTACAGGCTCTCTATACGTGCGACACGCCCTCTTTTAGATAAGGGGTAGTGTGCCTATTAATTAGAAACTGAAGTACTACACATTAGCCGATAGTAAAATAGTGGTATTAGCTCTATCTTCAAGTCAGGTGTGTGTTGCACTTCACAGAAACTGTCGGTGAAAACCTGGAATTGGTTTTACAACCCTCACCGATTCCAAGGCCTCCTGAGAGCTCCAGATTTGCCTATTCTTATAGAGGGCACAGTTCAAATCTCACAGTACCAAAGAAGAGCTCTGTTTCGCCCTTTCAAGTTTCACCTGACCACATCTCCCAGGATTATGGGACACAAGCAAAGAGCACAGCCCCTGTCCAGGACTCCCAACAAGATCCAACGAAATCTGTGATGCATCTTACGAGACCTCCAATGCCACTTTCTCCCTACATTCCTTGAGTTTAGTCGCTCAATCAGTGATGATGGCTTGAAGGGGGGAATGACACATGAAAGAAGTCGCAAACTGCAGGACCTCATGCGTGAGTATGAAAATCAGTACGACCATTTAAATAATGCTAAAGCTGAAGTAGCTAGGTTAGAGAGTTGAAGCATCAGCTAAGGCAGGAGAGAGAAGAGAGTGATGGTAAACATGAGCAACTGAAAGTAACTGTTAGTCGGTTGGTGGCTGATCTAGAGATGATGCGGCTAAAATGCGACACACTTCAGACCGAAAATGATCAACTAAGGCTGAGAAAGACGGCGGCTTCAGAACAGAACAGAGAGTTGAAGGAGGATCTTAGCGAGAAGGATGTACACATTGAAAAATTGAAATCAGAAAATGAGAAAATTGCAGAGAGGGAGAGAGTGGCTGTCAAAAAATGCAAAGAGCTAGAAGCTAGAGTAAGGAAGCTCAGTGACATACACTACGACACCACCTTGGAGCTCGATCATGCATTCCAAGTCATTCTGGACAGTAAGGAAGTGAGTGAAGAGTTTAAAAAGGAAGTCAGCGTGTTGAAAGTGGAGGTTGAAAAAATTAAGAATGCTACATGGCCCTAACTCTTTCTATGTAAACAACAGAACTCTAATAGAGTGTAAAAGTAATTAGCGAGTGAAAAGCGCCCATGCACAATTACTCGTACACCATCATACATTATTATTATACGAGGTCTCAGTCAAGGCATGTTACGCCGTGCTGCAGCTGTGCAAGCATTCTGCAAAACATAAACCAATCATGACCCTACATTTTACCTACAGGTATATAAGCATCTTTAAATATTTTTTTCACGCAATTGCCAATGCCCCAGGATCTTGAGGTTTTTGCCTCGTAACTTGTAGGTTTGTAACAACTGATCAATAGTATATCAGAGCGTCGGTAGATGCTCTATATAGGGATGAGACAAGTGAAATCTCACGTGATCCACGTACAAAACGCCTCAAAACTCAGCGAGAATGACTCACCACGGCTTAAAAATCACTAGCAATAGTCTAGAGGCCAATACCTAGCTATACATATGCCCCAAGACTTCCTACGTGCCCTCAGTTCCCCACGAGAGAATTCGCTCTTACGCGATTTCGTGATTTTCGTGTCATCATCATCATATTCTTCATCTTATTCTTCTTCTTCTTCTTCTTCAGACCCGATAGCTCCTTACCGGAAGCAGTTGAAGCGTTGATTTTTTCACAGAACGTCTCCAAATTTTTCGGAGGTGTGCACGCATGTCAAGCGATCGCTTGTTTCTTGCCGCAAGTCACTACGGTAGATCGTTGAGCCCTTCCACGGTAGTCACTGGACAACGCCATTTTCTGCTAACTCAGCATCAGTGAGCCGCATGGGCAGTGTGCGCCGTGTTACGCGGGCCTTGCCCAGCGCCTTCATTGTTTGTCCCCCTATCATTGTAGTCTGATTACTGAAGCCTGCCTATGAAACCACCCCACCATATGTGCCACCATCGTTGTTGGAGACACTACGCATACACCCTGCTTCAGGTAGGAGCAGCCTATTAGCTTCTGCTTTCAACAGTTATCTCTACAACACCCATGAACATAAGAGTGACTGAAAATGCAGTGTTGTCATAAGGCATGAAAAATAGTGGAAACAAGTGGAAAAATCATTTCTTCAAAATGAAGGGGGATATAGGGATGGCTTAAGCTCCAAGAAGGAAGAAACAAGGGGTCATTACACAGCAAAGATGCACAAGGCTACATGACACCATCCCTATATCTTTGTATTATTGTTCTCAAGTAAAGTTTAATATGAGTCAAAGATATAGGGATGGTGTCATGTAGCCTTGTGCATCTTTGCTGTGTAATGACCCCTTGTTTCTTCCTTTTTGGTGCTTCAAGCCATCCCTATATCCCCCTTCATTTTGAAGAAATGATTTTTCCACTGTTCCAGTTAT